TCAAATTACCGCCAATGGGAATGTGGTGGCATGGGTTAAATGATGATTGCTGAGGTTGAGGTTAACACAACTTTCCTAGGCTAAGCTACAAAGTATACATGTGCATATGTATATTGTTCATATCTCAACGTTTCACATTGACAGAATAGAAGAAACCTTTGGTGCAGGTCGCTCTACTTACAATAATATACGTAACCAACCAAGATGTAATTAAATGCAATTCGGTTTTCTTTCTATTAATAGCAATGGTTTTCCAAACGACTTTGATGTGTTTTTCTAACTCGTTTACCAGTGGATAGTTTAAGGTCTCCTCAAACGAGAAGGCAAACGTTTAACGTGAACTGTTTACTACTAGATGGCAACATTTTCAAAATACCCTGGGAAAATGGGAAAATATGAGTTTATAATTAACAATCAATTAACAACAAACAATTTGAGACAATTCGAGACAATCGATTTTATACCCTTTGTTCCGAGAGTTGGGCAAACAACAAATACCCGCAACTTTGTTCATATGTGACCACAAACCAGAAAGTATGCAATAACAAATTAAGTTTACTTTTTGGTTTTACCTAACACTCGAGGAACTGTACGACTAAATAAACTCCAATATAACGCAAACAAGAGTCGCCTAATCACCACTTGATTTTTATATCTTACGATACTTATGGTATATTAGGTTTTTCAGGTTTACTAGGTTTATGCGGACATAAGGTAAGAATAAGATCAGACTTAAGATAAATCCCACCCTTTATTATGCCGAGCGATTCAGAATCATTTTCTGAATGGATCTAATGTCTGTCCATGTATCGTTCTATTCAATCTACACTGCGCTCAATCTACAATCTAAGCTACTTTTAGGACACTGTGATGGATGAAACTGATTACACTAACGTACTTTGACCCAAGAACAAACGTCATTGCAAATGCTGCGGATCGCTGCACTTTTTCAACCATTCCACATGTAACGCGATATCTTGAAAAGTCATTAGCTAAAAAGTCAGCTAAAATTTTTAAAATTTCTCCCTCTAATGCAAAAAAATACAATTTTCAATACTTAACGGTAAAAATAGGTTGACAAAGAAATCAACGTTATCGCATTGAACTCTCTAGGTCTATGGGAATAACATGTAAGAATTCTCACGAAATGTTGACCCCTATATCCCAAAAAGGCTTAATGGTTAATGTTTTACGATGAGAATTTGCGTATCATAGTAAATTGACATAAAGATTAAGTCGACCAAATTTGAACGATGTGGGTCGATTTCTTGGACCCCACTTCAAGTAAGATGTCTCATGAATGAATAACGGAGGGGGATTTGAATCGGACTGGTTCATTGTTTAGGCCCTATATGTTAGGGATTATCATGCAAGCAACCCCTTATATGGAGAGACAGTCTAATTTCCGGTTTTTTTTTTTTTTTTTTGTGACAGCAGCTAAAATTTGGACCGCACCATTTGATGTTTCGGGCATTTGATGGTGGACAGTATAGTACTTTTATCTACTATAGTACTTTTACTTGTTTTTGTATTGTTAGCCACTACACGTTCCCGTCTATTTAGCGTGATTTTGTTTGCCTTTCGAAAAAATTGCTTATCTTTCGAGGCTGTTTGCGAGGCGATCCATTTTTGTGCATTATAACTGCGAAGAATCAGTTGACACAGGCCACCAATCATATATCGAATACGATCGGCAGCGTAGCATATCCCGAAACATCGCCGTTAACGTATTTTTAATGCAATGCAAGTGAACAAGTGTTTACTTGTTATAAAACTGTCACAACATATTTTTCCTTTAACTTTTTTCTCGGTTGTACCGCCTATCATCGCTAACGTACGTTGGTGATGATTTTTTACATTTGGACAGCTGATAAGACATTAATTGCATACTTCTAATCTCACTGTATATAGGCCGAGCTTCACAATACAACTTTGTTTTTATTTTGAGTTTTATTTTAGTACCCATCTCTCGGCTTCATGTCACACGATACTAAATTTACTTCTTTTCAAACTCACTTAAATCTCTTTTGAAAATCCTAATTGATTTCGTTTCAAAAATCTAATAGGTCTGCAAAGGTCTGCATAGGTCTTTTTATGTCTCCCAAATATCTTCATCCAGTTTTAACTTTTCTGTCCCAAGACCACAACTCTTAAATAAATCATCGACTTTACTTCGTTAGATCTAAAAAATCCACTTTTTTTCTTCAAAAAAGTTCCGATAGCAACAAGTAAAAAGATCTGCATATACATTTCGATTCATGCCAGTGTCCATAAGTTGTTTTTGCAGCAAGTGCAGGAACTTATTGGATTCATAATTTAGAAAAATGAGGCATCGAAGGCCTCATGTTGTACGCGTTTGTTGATGAGTTTGAAAAGCGCAATCGCTTTAGCTATGTTTGCATTTTTATCGATTATTGGCAAAAACGATTATGTTCTAAAGGTGTGCAGGTGCTGCAGGTGAGTCATGTCTGTTACCAAACTTCTTACGCTAATAAGTCAAATTTGAACATGATTTACAAATTTTTGTGAATCAAGACATTAAACCGACGGATAAATGAAAGACTCGGGGAATTCGAGACATATTCTAAATAAAAAGTCCTTTATATTATATATAACACGTCATTGACTAAGTTCATAGGATGACATATAAATGCTACCAATGTCGATGTATTTATATGAGTAAAGTTGTTTAGGTGACGCTACTTTTAGAAAAATCTGGACTTTGTCTGCAGCATCATCAAAAAAAACTGCAACTTGTAAGCTAACGGCCAGAATGTCATGAAATTTTGACACATTACGTTTGAAGATTGGTACCATCTGAAAATCGTATGGATCCGTTATTATTATGCCCATGCCGCTAGCTTTCCAGGATTTAGGATTTTTATGAATTCCGTCCCCGTCTTTGGATCGGAGCACCAGACCGTGTCCGGCATGGTAAAATGCTCTCTAAACACTTGATGTCTGATTATATAGGTGGCTTCACCTTCACATAGAATATGATGGTACGTTTCATTCGTCCCTTGGCAGAGTCTGCATGAATCGGTACCAAACATGCCCATGTTTTACCTGACTGAATCATGACCCATGTAGAAGCCGGTGTTCTAAATATAATCTATTAATAGCAAGCCTTCATTTGGATCCATTAATAGTAAGCTTACATTTTTATGTCATTTTACGAATTTATTGGGTGATGTATGTCACCTATGTTATTAGTCCAAATTAAGCGTTAAGAAATAAGTTCTTGGCGTTCTTCTCATCACTATTCGAACTCATTTTTCTTATATTTTAAATTAAGATCATTAAACCAAGTCACCATGTCATTCGACTGATAATGTTTCGTCATTTTTCTAACAAAGTGATCAAGCCATCACTGTGGAACTATTGGGCATTTTGAGAGGAAAACTGAGCCAAGCCATTTTTCGAAAGTCAACTTTAACCGACTAACGAAGTTCTGGAAAACAAGCAATAACCGATAGTCGGATCGAGCGGGATCTGGGCTGTCGTGGTAAGCAAATGAAAGATTCCCAGCCCAGCTACTTAAATATTTACTGATCATAGATTTCCTAAAAAAATTAAAAGAATTACATTTCAGGCGCAGCTGACAATTTCTATTTTCAAAATAAAAGTTTTTCCGCATAGGCGTGCGGACCCTGAAAAAGTTTAAGTCACTTCTAAACTCCGTCGCAAATTTGTAGGCGATATCTTCACTTTTGCGAATGGGATAATCTTTAGGTTCATTCCCAATTTGAAATTGGTCAAGAGTGTATATATATTATACTTTAAGAGGAGTTTTGACAGTCGTTTCTGCGCGTTACAAAGTTAATGAAAATATAATTAAATTTGATACACTATAAGGTAGGCATAATGAATTTTTTCCATTTTTATACACAAATGCTACGGCATCGTCCATAGTATGTGCGTTTATATTTTTGTACACTTATCTGCTATAGTTTATGAGTAATGAGCAAAAAAACCAACTTATTATTCGTTTTGAAAAACAGAGGTGTTCTCAGTTTACGGCGTACTGCAAGCTAGTCCCTCGACCGGGTTGGCTAGTTTTCAACAACAATCTTCGCGAAAGAATGTTTCTGTCAAATTTCAAGTAGATAGCTGAATTTTTACGGCCAGGAGAAAGTTTATAACAGATATTTACGTAGATAGACAGACAGACGGGACGGACATGATTAAATCGTTTCAGAATTTGATACTGATCAAGAATATATATATATATACTTTATGGGATCTCTGAAGCTTCCTTCTGGGCGTTGCAAACGTTTTGACAAAATGAATATGCCCCTCATACTTCGCTTGTCGATATAAAAATGTTAATAAACTTTTACACGCTAGTAGATCTTATATTATAGTAAAGTATGTCGTAATCGCATAACTTTTTCATAGTTGTTTTAAAACAATTCGCCATGGACTATTCATACCCTACACCACTTTTAGTGAGAGGATATATTCAATTTACGCGGATGTACGGAAAAACCGGAAGGACTTGGGATAGAGCCTCGTCATCAATCATTTTTTTAATTCAATCTAAGTTTACCTGTCCACCTGCGCGTCCAATATCTGTCCATCTAGTCGTGTATTCAGCTAAAAAGTTGCAATTTTCGAAACACATTAAAAAAATTTACTGCACTAACGTGTTTTGGCTCAAGAACGAATGCTGTTGAAAATGCTTCGGTCTGGATTACTTTACCGAGAACTTTCTGAAGAATCGCTACACAAATAACCATCAGATAGCGTAGGGTATTTAATGATGGGTCGTGGCGCACTATAGGTTTTGTTTTACTCGTTTATGATTAGACAATTGTCATCTGGTCTTATGTGAATTCATTTAAGCAAACATTATCAGATGTAATTGCAGATAATAGGCGACCAGTTAGAATAACATCGAAAGCAAAAAAAAACAAAAAAAAAAATCTTAAAAACTGATAAGACGCGCAATTTAAAAATGTAAAATTTCATTGATTAGCGAAACTTGATTTCAATTTAGTTTGCAAACGCTTACTACAGTGAACGGTCGTCTAAATTAAACCGCAAATTGAAAGACTTGCCGACACATTAGCCCGCATCGCAGATGCTTTATTTATAAGGAGAACTAGTGAAAAGGTTAAGTTTGAATGAAATTTTTTATTTCGCTTTGAATGAAATGCAATTTTATGTTCAATTAACGTAAATAAATGAAGAGTTAACTCATTACATGTCGTTTTAAATACGAGCATATTACCAGTGGCATTCAATGGCATTCTAAGATTGTTATGACGATATAAAAAAGGCGAAGAAAACGCATTATATAAAGATCGAATGATTTAAAACGTTTCGCTACTCGCAACAAGAACAAGTGACTGCAAAGCCATCCAATCCATAATTAAGTTGGTTAAATAAAAATAAACGCAACACAATTATGCAACAATTCTATCAACAATTATTACTCTAATGGTAAATAAGCAAATAAGCCTAACAAAAAGCACTTTTCCATTTCCATTTGCATTATAATAAATATTAATCTGATTATATAGTTTCCGCTTAATATGCATTATTCACATCACTTACCTGAACGAATTAATTTACTTTGCCAACACAACCATTTACTTACAAAAAAAATAAATTCTTTTTGTTTAAAGAAAATTTTAAGCAACTGCATGCAAAATAAGTTATATTCCGACTTAAATATAATATTTTGATGTCAATCGTTTTTGTTGCTTTTCTGTTATTTAGTAGATCATGTACAATCAGTCCTGTGTACTGTGTTAGATAGGCGAGCCAAATGAAGTTTGAGATAACTCTAAGCAAAGTTTAAATCGAACTTCGTGCGAGTGTGCGCTACGACGGTAGATCTTTGAACGAATATTTTATAAAATTTTTCATTTTCTTCAAAAACATTTACTTCTCTTATTTACTATGATTGACTGGCTTCTCACACCGGCACTTGCCCTATGATATTCGCTTAGGAGATATTATCGCCTTGTGTTTTTTTTTTTTTCGTATGTTTTGGTTTTTTCTTGATTTAAATGGTTCCGCGGGGAGTCGAAATTTCAGATCATCCACAAGAAATCAATTTTTCGGAAATACATGTCCAGAATCGAGTTGCACCTACATTGAGGGCATTAGCAAATATGAAAAGCAATTGTAAGTTGGGCGGCATAGACGCCGCAGATTAACGTTAAAGCAAAAATATGTTTCATATAGAAACTGGACGCTCTTTTCATTGTTGCTGTACTCCGTATATTGATAAGTCTTTCCAGGTTTTTTCTTTTTTTAAACCGTTTCACTACTACGTGGTAGAAGGGCTTATCAAAATTGTACGGTTATTCGCAACACTCACAAAGACTTTAGTTAATCTCATCTTTTGTTAAATCAATCGATTCTGAATCATTTTCTCAATCGATATAAGCTTGTATGTCTGTCCATCAGTCTGTCTGTCTGTCTGTCTGTCTGTCTGTCTATTTGTCTGATATTTTTGTGTTCAACCTACAAGTCAACATTTTTGAGATATTTGATACACAGACGTATTTTGGGGCAAGCACGATTTTGAAAATGGTTCAGATCGAACCACTTCTTCGCCCATGACATATTTGTAAAAGTGATTAAATGAATAACTTCGCTTAAGCGATGCATAGTGTTTAGGGTAGACATTTAATGGTGGGCTGTCGTCCACAATAATGTTTTTACTTATTTATTTACGAGTCCACCCAGTATCGTAGTGCAAGCCATTCAGCGAGCAAAATATCTAAATGTATTATACAGTGGGTACTGAGTTCTGAGTTTTGCATTATGTATATATCACCAGAATCGTCTCCTCAGCCAAACTATGGAAAAGAAATTAAATACATGGCAAACAAGAAAAGAAATGCCGTCTCGATCAGTAGTAGTTGTATCACATAATTACATTCATACACATAAAGTAATCATATGAAGTTGGTAAAATAATGCAAAAGTTTTGAGACGATAAACAGTTCATAAGGCGAACAATTCGAGCAACATGCCACCGTTGTATCTTTCGAAGATTGGTCTACAAATTTGACGAACATAAAAACCGCGAGGAGAAGGAAAACTATTTCTAATCAGGTTACGATACTTAACAAAAGTTTCTGACGGTGCAACCAAGAAAATTATAATGTGAACATAAGACGTCTAATATTGTAGACAAACCCAACGATCATGTTAAGTATATATTACAACCGATTATAGAGAAGTTAGAATTGAACTCGCCAACAACAACAGTGTTCAGAATATATTCAGAAAATATACAACAATGACGCTTCTCCAACACAGCCAAATTACCATTCAGCAGATATACTTTAACAAACAAGACCTTCACACTACCAATGAAATAATTCAATGAAGAGCGATTCACATTACCCGACAAAAAATACCCTGAAGACATATATAAACTTACGTTCCCTGGGCACAAACATACCTCTATCATCACTTCTTGCCAGACAGTCGTGCCTAGCCAGGAAAGCCAACAGCACGATTAGAATTAGTCCCATCAAGTCCGACATTGCTGAAACCGCGCACAGATCAATCACGTCGTCCCTCAAAATAGTTGCAATTTCGACAAGTTTCATATACCTTTTCAATGCATGCGAAGTGTAACTACACCGCTTAAGCATATTTTTGTGAACATTCAGTTTCTTGTTTTAATTTTCTGAATCTAAGTAGAAGAAGAAGAACGATGAATGGCACAAACAAATCTTTTAATCTCTCACACTGTTTCTGCTGTTTCTGTACATGTCATAAACGAAATGATAAATTTAGTTTATCATCATCCATGAACAGCGAAGCCAAGCCCTTTCTTACCTGCAATTACCTAAAATCAAAAAAAAAAAAAATTTTTTAATTCCTTTCCATGCTGAGTTTTAAAACAAAAAATTTTAAAACGTACGATACATCCCTAGCGCATTAAGCTTTTAAATCAAAATACTGTACGCTGAACAAGTGCAATAACACGTTTCTAAAGCCCACGTGCAGCAAAGATTACGTAGAATTGTATAACCTTTTGACTCTCCTAGCAATTTATATTCGAAACAAATAATTATAAATGATCTAACTGTGCATATATTCGTATAAATGGAAATGAACGCCGCCATAATTATCTATAATCTTCATATTGAATAATTTCCGATAAATGTGCGGAATAATCCCGATTATACTGTTAAAAATTGTTTACCTAAGTTGAATATTAATTTAAATTTCAGTTTACACTTTTTATAGTTTTCTGTGCGGGCATAAGACAAGATATGCATCAAAGACATCTTAACATCTACGCTGCACATCTATATTTATTGCTATTCATCAGTTTGCGGTTATCGCTCTTCTCATGCAATAATAATTCTTCAAATTGTGAAAAAGGAAACACAAAATTGGAAACTTCTATGGAATTGATCCCATAGATCAAGTATGAAAATGGACCTCGACCCACTTGTTAACATTTTCATATACTTTCGTATAATAAACATACGGGACCAGTTCGCGACTGTCGACGTCGAATAAATTCAATGCTAATTTTTGTCTTCGAGTTTGTATGGCTTTCAATGTCGACTTAAGTGCTATGTCGAAGCGTCACGTAGCGAGTTCACAGCTCTCGACTCAAAGTCATACTTATGAGTTTTGACAATACCAAATGAAAATTCATTTGACGATTAAATTAGTGCCGAATAACATAATCAAATAGAAAACAAGTGAAAATATCATAATCGCGCAACGCTGGCAATTACATAACCTACACTACTTCGCCCAGCACAGTTATTTGCTCCCCTAAAGTACATATTACTTTCACCCACAATCATAATTGTCATGAAAGGCCGCATTAGAGTTTGCGTTTCCCGATAGCGTGATAGCTGGGGTCCAAAAAAAAAGAAAAAAAAAAAATAGACCTATATGATCCAAATTCACTATCGTTTATTTTCTTACTGAAGCGCTGATATTAAAATTAATTTCCGAAGTACTTGCTACTCATGGGCTATCTTATAAGCAATTGGGTCAAGAAATAGAACCATTTGGATCCAATTAGGTCCTACTTAATTTTTTTTTATTCAATAACTATCATAAACAAATTTTCATCACAAAAAAATTAAAAATTAAGGATTTTTTTTTGGCATATAAAGATTTACGTTCCATGAGAATACTTATAGGCCTTCGGGGTCCAAATTCGATAAGGTTGATTTCTTTGTCAATTTCTTATTATGAGCTAATTTTCACTATGAAATATTGGAAATTCAACCTTTTTACCATATAAAGCTTCCATTTCCGTAGGAACGGGTTCAAAAAATTGCCAAAGGCGGTCTAAAGTTTTCACCCTAATTTTCAATGTCGAAATGTTAACACTTAGCCGTTTTTGCTGAGAAATTTGAAAAGTTGCAAAAATTTCCCCAAATAACGACTTTTCCGAATAGGGTGTTATACGGGCATTGGTCGAAAAAGTGAACCGATTCAAACCATTTCCAATAGCGTTCGTCCTTGGATCAAAACACGTTACTGTATCAAATTTCATCAAAATATCACCGAAAATTGTGACCGGTAGATGGAATACAAATTTACAGGACAGACATCGGACGAACAGACAGATTTTGATCAATTCAGATTATAGTTCTGAATCGATCGATATAATAAAAGATGGGTCTATCTTAAATCCTTCTGCGTGTTACATACGTCCGCACTAAACTTAATACACCCTGCGCCGCAAGTGCCGCAAGGGTGCAATAAAGCAAAATATCTTTTCTAAATACACATACAATTAATAAATATTAAAACTGTTTTATTCCTATCAATGTGAGAGCAAGTGTGAGGAAGGCCGATAATAATGACTTTCCATGCCTATCTCTTCTGAATCGTTAAAATAAATTGAATGAAAAATATTGATGTTTAAAGAATAGCGTCAATAGATCTCCAATCGTGAACGAATTGCCAATCATTCAAAGACAGTTCATCCAAATGAAGAGAAGAAATTCAAGGCAAACATGGCAAGCAAATAACTTGAGTTAACCTTTATTATGTAAGACAAATAAGTTAGATGTTTGTAGTTTGTTAAACTTTGCTTTACTTGTTTTCAAATTCTTTCCACAATTATTATACCCACCGCTGCAGGATGGAAGTGGGGAATATTCATTTTGTTCTTTTCCATAATGTATTTAAAAAGTATACATATTGTTATGAAATTCACTTTTCTAAGACACAGTCCGTATCACTAGACCGTCGATATTTTGCTCAAGAGAAATACACTTCAAAGATCTTTTATTTATAATTATATTCCTTGACAGTAGGATCATTTATTTACAATAATGTTCCTTAAATGTAAGATTATTCACAATTTATTTCGGCCGTACTCTCTCTCAACTTCTATGTTCTTGCCCGACTAACTATCCCTTCCACAAATATTCTATTAAATATACATTTTTACAAGCAGATTGCTATACCCAAATTCATAGTCTTTATATTTATTTATCCCTCTCTGCTTTTCCCGCTAATCGTTTTCATCGGCCTGCACCTGCATGACGCGCCTGCGAATGTGTGTTTGGTTTTTCCTTCTTTAGGGAATTTATTATCTGGGAAAATGACTTGGCTAGAGTTAGCTGGACTTACGATTTTCGTAACAATATATTCTTGATCAGCGTGGAATTCTGAATTGATTATATCATGTCTGTAAGGATACCCGGAATGCGTTGCAAAACTATTCAAATAACACTAAGTATATAATCTTAAATTTCAATATACACATATATGTGTGTATGTTAATTACCAAATGACCAACAATTCCGGAATATGTTAGTTTCGAGTTTTCTTCTCTTTTTTTTTTAACTTTTACTTACTTACTGTACTGTATTTGCTTTTGTCTACTATTCTACTAAGATATATTGCAAATAATTTATTTGAATTTTGAATTTGCTTTGCCCAAAGTTTACTTTCTTTTTCTTCTTTGCGTTTATATGCTTGTTATTCACACACCAATGATACGGGTACAAATACAACGTTGCTTTTGCTTCGAGTAAAAAATTTTATTTGACTCGACAGCCGAAACAGACAGGTCTATCTAAGGTGTAAAAAGATGGTCGGGTCGATCCAAAGCGTAGAAATTAACGTCGCTGACCATAAAACGAGCCAAAATTTTTAAGCAATCAATAAACAACGGTTTATAAGAGGAAAGAGATGAAAATTGTTTATAAAAGTCTTCGTGAAACATTACATGGATGTAGTTCTTTGTCGGTTAGTTGGACAAAAACTTACCCTATTGAAAATGTTTAGGTACAATGTTCAAAATAAACACTAATAAGCCCACAAATTATTTATGCAAATTGCGAACTTTTCGCATTCGAAAAGTACTTTTTTGCCGATCAGCTGCAAAATTCTATGCTATTTAGTACTTTTATTTAACTCTTACAACTAATCCATCCATGCATAGGTGTTGTGTCCATTTAATGCTTTAAAACATGCACTAAAAGCATGCCGGTGTCAATGAGTGTTTTGTGCTCGCCACCATTTCATTTCATTTAAGAGAGACGAAGAGAATAAATACAAGTTTTGTAAATCATTCTCTTTTGAATAGATGTTTATCAACATACAAATGTCTAGACTTCAACTTGTAATTGCATAAATAAATAAATGAATACACGGGTTACTGACTGAGAGAGAGAGAGAGAGAGAAAATAAATGTTTAATTTTTAAATCGAAGGCTTAATGTCGCAGATAGTTAGTTAGTCAGTTAGATTTGTAGCTCTCTTGTCTATCAAATGAAATGAAATCATTGAAAAATCGATGGTAAATATTGTTGTTGCTCTTATTCTATTTCTTTTGTATTTTATTATATTCTTCATTAATCTGTCGTGACTGTGACAAAGTAGTGCGAACGTGATTCTTCTTGCAATGTGAAAAAGAATATGTGATATAAAACAGTTTTGCGAGTACGGTAAATAAAAATCAAAAATGAAAGTGAAATTTGCGTAAACATAAATTGTTATTAAAGCATCGTTAATTGTTATTAAAGCGCAAATGAATAAATATTTTGCTTTATAAGCAAACATGTTACGTATGCTTAAAGAAGAAATTTGCCGACTTGTTAAAAAATAAATAAAAAAAAAAGTGAATCGAGTTAAGGCGAATTTTGCATACCTTGATACCGCCTTTTGTGTCGCATTATTTCTAGTTAAAGAAAAGTGCCAAAGGAATGCCGATTAATTATTTACAAATTAACAACATTTCGATAAATTTTGGAAAAACTTATATAACGAATTGGACGGTTTTTCGTATCTCTCACAAAGCATTGAAAAATATTAATTTTTAGTTTTTCATGTCATGTTTTTCTCAAAATATATATAAAAACGGAAAACAAAAAACATCCCGGCAGATATGGATAACATCATGGATATCTCAGTGTTGAATTAAAAGCCAATCAGATTTTCATTGAATTAGTTTGTGTTTCAAAGACGTACATCGGTTGATTGAGGGCAATTGATTATTTCATACACTTTGTTATAAAATGGACTGTGAGGCTATCGTTATTCAAGAATATATATCCTTATCTCTGTTCTATGTCAATCATAATTTAAACGAATCGAATAGATTTATATAAAAAGAAGAGGGAAATATATCAATAGTTTTTAAAGATCCTCCTCTTGAAACGCCTATAAACATCGGTTATCCGTTATCGGATAGAGAAACAAAACGAAACAAATCAAAATAATCTAAAAAATATTCTACGTCTGCCTTTGTAAATTCAAATTTCCCCAAATCGTTATTAGCAACCGCAAGTCATCCCCATTAAACACCTGAGCAGTAGCGAAAAAATCCATAACAACTTTCATAGAACAAGATTAAACCTTATTACATATTAACTGTAGCTGCTTAGTATTTAAAAATTCGCCTTAAGGTTTTCGCATTAATTGTAGCCAGATATGATTGTGACAAACTCAATATATCTAAGCATCTGTAAGGTGAAAGGGAAAAATGAAGAAGTAAAAAGATAGAGTACGAAGCACGAACGAAACAAGAAAGCAGCATACATTTCTCTCGGCACCAATCTTGCTGGTGGTTGCAATGATTTGCCATGTTATGTCTCTTCTCCCTCCTCATCGGTAGTTTGATTTCAAGTTTTATACAAAATAAATGAAAATTAATCATTTTTGTAAGGCTTTAAATATAAAAAAAATATATATATATATATATATATGTATATATATATATATAATATATTCAACATTCCTTGGGAAGAAAGAGTTCAAGTTCTTTTTAAATATTTCATTCATCTGGACGAGACTGATGATGGATACCTTATTGAGACAACATGTAAGTTTCTATGACAAATGCCGGCAAAAAGCAAACACGTGCTACCTCAATCTTATAAATTCTTTGCATAAATTATTTACAGTTAATTGTCCGCAAACCATTTGCCTATCAATAATAATTATTGAAAATCATTTATGGCTTTTCTCCAGAGCAAAAAATTTCCCAGTAAATAAAATCAAAGACAAAACACATGCTCTAAGCGAACGTTTATAACGTGTTATTTATAAACTAAACTAACCAGGACCGGCTCGTCTATACAGATAAAGTGGGCAAATTTTTAGCATATTCAATATTAGAAAGGCCCTATTTAACTCTCGTCTGTTTCCCATTATTAAAAAAATTTGTATTTGCTTGTCCGGGAAAAATCTTAAAATCGTTTACCTAAGGAATTAACTTCATTGACACTCTTAACAACTGCTTAAGAAACTTGAATTTCTAAATAAAGCAATAGCGCCTTCACACTTGTAAGAATAAAAAAAAAATTTATGTTAAACAAGTAAAAACTTTATATTGGGTCGTGACCCTTCATTACACTTCAGTAAGTCGTATAACAACTTTTTAAAAAAACGGACCGAAAAAATGCCACGTTTCAGAACATTTTCAATCGCATTCGTCCTTGGGTCAAAACGTGTCGATGTGCAGAATACAAAAAAAAAAAAAAACACCGCAAAAATTTACGGCCTGTAGATTGAACGCAAGAAAGCAAAATGGATGGAGAGAAAGGTAAACTTGAATCGATTCAGTACATGATTGTGGATCGAGCAGTATTGTACAACTTGCCATCTATCTCAAGTTTTTCTGAGCATTGAATGCATGCGCAAAAGCTTAATGTACCCTGTGTGTGTAAAGTAAAACATTTTCCAATACGTGACGGCAACTTCAGTTTTCGGGAAAGTATGAAATAAAAAATTGAAATATTTGGTAACTATACTGTTTCGATCGATCGCAATAGCCGAGCTGCAAACCAAAAATATCTGAACAAATGCCTTAAGATTGGCAGTGGCCAAGCAACAAAATATTAAATTGCCATTTTCATCACATCATGTTAATAATCACGCCGCATTATCTGCTTAATGAAGTTTTTAATTTTTAAAAAGAAAAAGAAATAATGCCTATTAAAAGAAAATGTTTTTATTTGAATCTTTTGCAATAAGAATTTGTTGTGTTGGTAACACTCGCTTATTTAACAATTTCATGTGTGACAAGAGCTTGGACGAAAACCATGTTTTTCTATTGTTTACATTGTAATAAAAATTTCGTTGCTCACTTTTAGGATGTACCCACAAATACAGAATTTACACATAAGCCGATAGCTGCGTCTTATAATACTAACAACGATAATAAATGGGATAAATTGAAAAAGAGCATTTTCTCACCATGGTATCGAGAAATTTCCGTGGAGCCCACTATGTTCCTGTATATGTTTGCATTTATGATTACGACTGTAGTCGAGCAAGATTTTTTTCTACAAAAGGCCTGCCGAGTTAATAATAATTTTACAGAAGAGATATGCGATCGCATCAAAGATATTGAGAATGCCGAATACAAGAAACAAGTTCAAGTAACGACTGCGAAATTTTATCAATACGAGAGTATAGCGGGTCATGTTTTCCCAATCGTTTTGGCTTTATTTTTGGGCTCATTTTCGGATCGTAGAGGGCGAAAATTGCCCTTGTTAATGGGCTTATGTGGTAAATTCATTTATTCCGTGATGATAGTGGTTAACGCGAATATGAAAACGTGGCCATTGGAATATGTTATATTAACGGCAACGTTACCATCGGCATTAACTGGGGCAGATGTTGCTATATTTGCTTCTTGTTTCGCTTACATATCGGATATATCGACTTTAAAGAATCGCACAATGAGGGTAACGATTTTGGAAGTTTGCTATTTAAGCGCAATGCCCACCGGAGTGGCCTTGGGTTCATATCTTTTTTATAATCATTTCAATAGGTCTTATGGGACTATGTTCGCATTAAATGCTTCCCTCTTGGCAATTTCGATTATCTATACTGTGCTAGTGTTAAAGGTAAGTATATAGATAAGATATAAATATGCAGAGAGAAAAGTTGCTGCTTTCGTTTCCTGCGTTTGCAATGAACGGAAATATGATTATACGTGTATTTATTATTCTCAATTTGCAGTGGCAAACTACCGAAAAACAGCGTTCTTTAAAAGAATTAAGTTGTTGTGGCTTTATTATTGATTTCTTTGATAAGCAACACGTTCAGGATTCGTTCGGGGTTTTAATGAAATCCCGACCCGGCTATCGTCGCTGCTTTTTAATTATTTTACTTATATCGATGGCTTTGTATACTTTTCAAAGAGACGAAAATCAATATTTATTCTTATACGCCACATTTAAATTCAATTGGGGCGTCGATGTTTACAGTGTATTCAAAACATTTAAATCTTCAGCTTATGTCATAGCCATGCTGATAGCAGTACCCTTAATGAATAAATTCTTTAACTGGAGAGATACCGTACGTTCATATGTTCATTTATTATTATTATTATTATTATTATTATTATTTTTAATATTTTTTGACTTTCATTTTAATTCTTTAACTTTTAGACGATAGTGTTTATAGGGGCTTGGGCCCACGCTATAGCTCGTTTATTTTATTATTTCGCAACTACTGGTACCTTATTCTATGTGGGAGCTGTTATTTGCGGTTTAGGTCCGATAGTGGGACCTATGATACGAGCAATGACCTCAAAAATAGTACCGCAATCGGAACGTGGTAAAGTGTTTGCTTTACTCTCAGTTTGCGATAATGCCGTGCCCTTTATAAGCGGTATTTGCTATTCTCAAGTCTATCGCGCTACACTGAATGAGGACGGCAAAGGTGGCGGTGGCGTTTTTCTTTTAACCATCGTTACACAACTGACCGTTTTCTTCTTAACCCTGTAAGTATCTATTCACGATGGCATTTAAAATCTAATTACGCAAAACAATGAAATGAGCAAAAAGCAAAAAAACCATTAAAAGAGTGAATAAAATTGGGAATGGATGGAATGAAAGGGCAATGGAATGATAATATTTAAGGAAATAATTATGAATGTATAAAAATAAAGGGGAATCATTTCTAAATAACTAAAGACGCTATAGTTGGCCGCAGACCAACTTTATATACCCCACAAAAGCTTACAGTTATTGAGATAACGCCTTTTCAAAATATGAGGTTATACACGAAGCAGTCGAAGAAGCGATCCGATCCCAATCATTATCAATAGTTTTCGTCTTTGGGCCAGAATCCGTGAGTGTAATTTTGTGTAAATTTAATCAAAATTGTGGTCCGTAAGTTGAATGCAAGACAGCAAGACGTACAAATACGCAGACAAATTTAAAAAAATAATTCTCACTCCATTGGTATAAGCAAGAAAGCAAGACGGACAAATATGCAGACAAGTTTCAGCAAGTAATCCACACTCCATCGGTGTAATAAATGGTGGGTCCATCTCAAGTCCTTTAGCTGTTACATAAATCCGCACAAACTTAATGTACCCTCGCATCGCAAGTGGTGGTGAAAAAGTCCTAACACCCGAGCTATTCTCGTAAGTCAAGTTTCTCTGAAGCATGCTTGAGGTAACTGGCGGAAATTTTTATTTTGAAAGAACAAAGAAAATAGTAACTGAAGTTTAGTCTATGATTAGCGAGGGACATGCATTGTATGTCATTTGGTGAATATTTACAGGAAAAAATTCACTTTTGGACCGTAAAAATTGTTGGCGGTTCGTATGTACAAAGAAAAAAGAGAAACTCTAATAAGAAACGAAAATTTCCGATAAAAACCATATGTTGCTAGTGTCAGAGTGTAAAGAATTAAGCTTTGCAGGATGAGATGTTTACTAAGAGTAGGTAACAATATCATAGCAAAAATGTGCCCAAGCCTTTGGGATGATGAGAAAGGTAAGGTAAGAACATTTAAATTTACATTTGAAACACGCTTGACCCAAGAACTTTTCCCATTTTGTACCATTTAGTGTTAGGGTCAGAACAAAAGTACGGTTCAGTTTAGTACTCAATTCATTTAAGCCGTGTTAGCACGTCATTGTTCAACTTGAAGTATACTCTGATGACATTTGCTATGCGGACATAATTTGGTCCAAGGGTAAACAAACAAATGTATGGTGGGTTGGATTGGATTATTTTTACGACCACTCTACCTATGACGTTCTATTTTGAAAAAAGTCTTCCGTTTATAGTCCTCGACAACAATTGATCGAACACAAGAGTTGATAAGATGCGATCATTTTTTGAACCCTCAGTCACAATAACTGTTTTTACCATCAAATAAGTCTTTATATAGGAAAAAGGCCCAACTTTGATGGAAATTTATAAAAACTAATGAAATGGATTGCAGGAGTAGGTTGGGTCCACATAGATCTATCTATAAGGCAACTCGAGAAATGTGTGCCTTTTTAAGGTAACAAAATGTAATGTTTGATAAAGAAATGATATTAAGCAAATGGGTGGAGAGTGCGGCCTTGACCGATTATTTAACTTGTTCCATCAATCAGCCTTACTCATCAGAATGCGTACATATATATTCCCTTTTAGAGTAATTATTATTTATTTATACATATTATATTGCAGTTGTATTCACATAACGTTGGGTAATCAAAGCATCGCAGTAGCAGAGACAACGGAAAATGAGGAAGCAATCGTTCGAAATGCATCCGTAATTGCGAATAATGATACGCTCTTCCAACAGTAATTTAATGCAAAGTTTCCAAGATTTCTTTAAATTGTAATTAATTTAAGTTAGAATATATTAATATATAATATAACATATATTAATGATAATATTTTTTGACTGATCTTGTAATAAAATAAATCAATTAATGGATTTTATTTTTTTGCAGAAAGTAAAAGAATTTATTTAAGAAAATTATTTTTTATTTGCATTTTATTTAAATCAATATTTTAATCAGTTAATGCCTTCGATAAAGATGAAACACAATTTACTTCTTCTTGCTTAAGGTTCGTTGCTTTTCGGCATGTTCGACTACCTTCTCGTCTACATGTAAACCTTTCCGCCGCCTAACACTATCCATGTAAGCCTTGGCTCGATTAACTAAGTCGGCCTTTTCGCCGAAATGCTTAAATTCTTCTTCCGTGGTGGGTACCCAGAACGGATCAATATCGATTATCTAGAATAGAAAAAAACATTTTTCAAAATTATGAATGACTTAACGGCGCATACGGAGAATTAGGATATGCTACATATTAAACTAGCATTTGAACGAACTAACGCCAGCATGTTGTTGTTGCTGTTCTTAGTAAGAGAAAAACATGAAAACGATGAATGAATAGAAGCAAAAAAACTAAATAAATACATAAATAAATGAATAAAAATAAAGGAAAATGAAAAGAGAGAAAAAAATAAGGGAAAAATATATGGAATGCATTTCATATTACAGCTGCTTTGCGAAGGTTACTCTCAAGATCATGGCGAGAACACAGTTTGTGGTAATTACCTTTTGCGCCTGCTTGCAGGGGATTTAGCAGTTTCTCAAGTGCCTTCTTTGTTGTATTTAAGGCACAAGGAAAAAAACATTTAAGAACACCACACAAGGTGTCTTACAATTTAAGGTGTTCGAAATGATGCCATAAATTTTCTTTCATTGTTCAAGAATTGAAAATCAATGAGAAGCAGATTACATTCAGCTTGAAGGATATCTTTGACCGCCTATTATACTAATTAAAAAAAAAAAAAAAAAAAAAAACAATTCCTTTTTAGACATACATCCATCAAAGAAAAGTTAACCCTAACCCATAATCAGACGAAATTTCTTTCTCAGTTAAAGATGCATTGTACATTTGCGTTAATGTAAAATAATTTGCTCGCACTCGCTGAAAATTTTCTCTAATCAATCATGCATTTATTTATTATACGCTTATCATGATGTTAAAAAGTTGGATTTTTTATAAATACTACTTATTATTGTATCGGGACCGGGACCGGGACCTGTCCAACAATTTTATCTATTTTGAACGTAAAGTCTTTCTAAAGGCAAATATATAGAATGAAGTGAATAATTATTCATTCATTCATTCTAAGGCATACGTAACGTGACGGTAAATTTCGATTTTTAACAGAATTTTCTCGGTAGACAAACGAACAACGATCGGTAATTTTCATTCCATATCTAGGCTATAATCGAAGATCTCTGTGGCTTTGTTGTTTCCTTTAATATTGCAAATGCGAAAAAACAAATCGATGAATGATTGTGAACATGAAATGAAGAGATTGCTATGAGTAGATATGACTTTCTATGGGAAATAATGGACCGTTTTGTTTCTATGTTTCAATTGATTGATTGTCTTTTGAACAACTATCGCAACTATCGATGAATTTGCCTTTAAACGATTGTCTTAAATCGTTTCTGAAGTGATAAGTTAACGCTAAATACAAATGTGTAAGACAAACCATTACCTAGTTACAGTGAGTCTCATTAATATTGCGGTCTTTTTTTTCTTATCAGGAAGGATACGAAGAAGATGAAAGAATAGAATATTCGGTGGGATATCCTTTTCGCGCAATAACGTCATTTAAACTCTTTCACATTTTGTCGAAAACACGGATCTTAGTCCATTCTTCTTGTAGTCTGTTTTTCAGACGTCTTGGACGGAAGGGGTCCATACCGGCTCAATTCATTCCACCTAATTCATGTCTGGGTTCGTGCCTGATGGTTACTGCAAGAGGATGAAGCACTTCGGAGCAATTATATAAGAGCCATTCTTCAATTAAGCTCGAGTTAGACTTAAAAATCGTTACTTTGGTAGAATTTGAATGCTTCCAAGACATCAAAATTATACAAAATGTCTCAAAGCGTTTAAATGACGTTATTAAGCAAAAAGGACATCCGATCGAATATTAATTTTTAATAATATGCTATCTCTTTATCTTCTTCGTATCCTTCCTTATACGAGAAAAAACCCCAATATTAATGACCCTATGACGCTTGAAGTTGTTGACCTTATTTAATTTTCTTGTCTTTTGTCTTGTTATTATATGTATTCCCTAGTAATACAAAGTAGTAAAAAAAAAAAAAAAAGATTTTTTATATTTGCAAAATGGCCTGACCTGGTTTAAGAAGAGTTTAATTTTTATTTTCGAGCGAAAAAACCGTATATTAATGAGACTCACTGTATGTATATTCAGGCACTAACAATGCCTCAGAATATTTCACTTTGCGCATAAACATAAACGAAAAAGAGAAGAAAAAAAAAAGCAGGCAGAAAAACTCCACAAAGTCTACCATAAACCAAATAAATGAAAAAAAGTTTATTTCTTTCAAGCTAATATAAAGTTTCTTCAATGATTTGCTTTTTAAGAAAGAGAAGGAAAGAAATGAATAAATAAAAATAAGATTTAAAAACCCAGTGAAATTATGGCTTATCTCAGCCAGAGAGATTTTCTATAAATCCTTACCTACAACTTTAAAGTGCTCAACTATCTTTATACCCTTTATACCCTTCAGCGCAATCATTTTATCATTCCGTTAGTGATATTTAAAAATTAAGGGCTTTCGCGAGAAATGCATATTCTAATCGAGTCCAGAGTACGACAACTTCACTTTCTCTCTTCTCTCTGAGCCGCAAAGTGTACAAATATAAATGAAACTTCGACACAAGTCTATTCTCTTCATTCAATTTCATACCATATTTCACTTATATATATATATATAAACATTTAACGCGTGGGAAGACTTGTTCCCTTGGTTTCTTTCTGAAAAACGTTTCTCACTTCATTCGTTAAAAGATCCATTTGATAAGTTTATTACGCCTATGCAAAATTTTTCATTATTTTAGACTTGTCGTGCAAACTGTTTTGAAATCGATTTCAAGTTTCTAACAAGTTGAAAAAAGAAGGCCCGAAATGTTGTTCAATCAGTGGAAGAATAAATTCGGAGACTTCGGAGCCTTCAAATATTAAGCATATGTAAAAAAGGCTATTATCGCTTTATTGAAAACTCTACCGCACGTGAGAGTTGAATCCACGACCATTGGAACTGTCAGTCGAGACTCTTGCTCTTTGTCTATTCGGTCGCTCAGGCGATCCTAATTGGTCAGTTTAGGTGATAACGTTTCACAATTTCACTGTATTTGTTTAAATTGATGAATATTTCAGATATATATATATATATATATATATGTACGTATGTCTTTTAAGGCGTCTATTATCTAACTTTGTCGCTTTTACTTTTTTTTATTATAATTGCAGAGGTCCAAGGTGAAGTATTTCCGATTTTACTTATTCTGTGCATCCAAAATATAAGTCGGGAGCGCATTTAGCATTGCGGACATTCAATCCGTGCTTGAAACACTTTTAAAATATTTATAGCGGACAATAGTTCTGCCAATAGTTCCATCTGTAAAGTGCGGTAAGAGTGTTTGCTAAACATTTCAGTTTAATTTCCAATCCTTCAAAAGTATTCTTTTTCCAATTTTTTTTTTTTTTTATTTTTCACAATTTTCTAATATAACTAAGAACTAAATGTTGAAAGCAACAAAAAAAAAAAAAACTTTATTCTTTATTTGGGTCATGGGTATCGAAAAATTCGACTTGAACTTCTTCATATGAAGTTCTTCGTGTTTTTTTTTTTGTTTTTTTTTTTAAATTTTATTTTAATTTTTTTTTGGTTTTTTTTTTTTTTTTTTTATTTATTTTTTTTTTTTATTTAAAACAAGAAGGAAGAAAGATCATTATCGTTTTACTTGTTTACACGCGTATAAAACAGAGATACATATACACAAACAGTGAAAAGGAAAAAATTCACTGTCAAATGAGTCCATACTCACATCCTAACAAAAGGAAGAACAATCATAGAATCAACAAAACTTCAAGGCATAGTCATCGTACGTATGTGTTGTTTTCAACACAATGTTTGCATGTAGAAATATTTCACAGTTGGGTAGACTGTGTTGTATGTACCTGCCAACACATATTGGCTGAGCATGCACCTTATTTCGTTGTTATTGTGTCGTTACCAGCAACGGCAACAATGATAACAACAATAACAACAATAACATGAATAACAATAAATAAGCAACGAATCATACGAACAAGAAGGCAAAATAAACAACAAGAACAACAATAACGACAACAACAATAATAGCAACAACAACTCGAAATGATTACAAATGATCTTCTCTCTCTATAGCTTTACACCTACTACCTTTAATATAATAACAGACAACGTGTGTTGTATATGAAATGATATAAGCGATACTGTATTTAGTTAAAGTCGAATAAAAGGATACCTTCTTTCAAGTTTTTAATTTTTCTTTATGAAGTTGATCTAATTGGCCTTCAAGAGGAGAATATTTCAAGTTTTTCTTAGGTCAACCAACCAACAACCGTTTGCTGCATATTGTGAAAATTATTTAAATACTCGTATCACAATTTTCTCTCGATTGTACGAAGGCTTTTTCGAAGCATTCAGTTAATCACACCATTCGAGCGAATATATTTCGGCATTTCAGCACAAATCTGCAGTGGAACTGGACTGGTACTCTTTCCAAACCTATTTTAGTTGAGAAATTTTTATGTTATGTATCTTTGCCAAAATAGATTAAGTAAATGTATGTAACTATCAAAAGAAAAAAAAAACCTCCTACATATCTATTTAGATTTTCACTCTTACGAATTTCTGAATATTACAACGGCTGATATTGCGAACTAAACGTATAAGCATTCATATTGTCTCTGTTTTTGTTCCTTTTTAATCCTCTGGATTAGCAGCCTCGCCATCATGTTTGTTTTGCTATTTACTTTTACAC